TCTAACCACAATCACCCTTCAAATTTTCTTCAATTGTTATACATTTAAACCATAAGCTAATCATTTCAAGACTTGAAAAGAAAATGTGTTTTCCATTTCACCTATTTTAGCATTCGACTATTATTCATCATAATGGTCACCTTATTCCAAATTACATTATCTCTTTAACATCGGTAACCTCAATTGTCCATAAAAAAGAGTTTCAATTAAATGAGTGCCTAACATCCAAGATCATCATTCTAACTCCAATCACCCTTCAAATTTTCTTCAGTTGTTATACATTTAGACCATAAGCTAATCATTTCATAGTTCTAATACCTTCAAATTATGCTCTTGTTTCCTCATACATGCATGTGATCGTATATTATTTTTGTAATCCCTAAAACATTGAGATTGTCATTCAAAATCTTATCTCACACAAGGACATCTTTTTAGTCAAAATATCAAAGTAATATATTCATAAAATACTCCCATCACCAATGAATTTTACCTTTGAGATCCAAGTTCATTGCACCTTGGAAGAATTTATTGCACCCATAATATTGCTAACATCCAACACATAGTCGTTAGTATAATTGRTTTCCCTTAATTTAATCAAGATTGATCTTCTAATATGTTCCATAGCATCATGGCTTTATACGTTATTACCTAACATATCCTAAGAAAATTTAGAGTATCCTTACATACTACTAATGACTAATTAGTCAAAAATATCCTAGTATGTCCGTTATGCCATACTCATGATTTGCATTATACTTTTGATCAACTTTTCCTTAATTCATTTCCATTTGATTTGACATAGCATTGTCACATTGAACATCCACGACATCCAACACTTACTCATATTGCTTATATCCAAGACATACTCATATTGTCATTACTTTAACTTAATTTCATCAGCTTACGAACTACCATGAACCTGAAACTCGGATAATGATTAATCCTTTCATATCATCACCATACCAATATAGAATATGGTCCTCTTGAACATCTAAATATCTTTCATGACTTGATACAAAAATACATACGTTTTCCATTTCACCTATTCTGTCATTCGAATACTATTCATCATAATCGTCACCTCATTCCATATTTCATCAAGTGTCTCTTTAACATTAGCAAGTTCAGTTGTCCATAAAAAAGCGTTTGAATTCAATTAGTGCTTAACATCCAAGATCATCATCCCAACCCCGATCACGCTTCGAATTTTATTCAATTGTTACACCTTTAGACCATAAGCTAATCATGTCATATTTCTAATACCTTCAAATTATACTCTTCTTTCCTCGTATATACATGTGATCGTATATTATTTTCTAATCCCTAAAACATTGAGATTGCCGTACAATATATTAAAAATCCATCTTATCTCACACAAGGACGTCATTTTAGTCAAAATATCAAAGTAATATATTCATAAAAGACTCCCATCACCATTAAATTTTACCTTAGGGATCTTCATTGCATCTTTGAAGAATTTATTGCACCCATAATATTGCTTACATCCAAAGAGTACTCGTTAGTATAAATGATTTCCCTTAATTTCATCACAATTAATCTTCTAATTTGTCCCATAGCATCATGGCTTATTACGTTACTACCTAACACGTCCTATGAAAATTTAGAGTATCCTTMCATACCACTAATGACTAATTATTCAAGAATATCCTAGCGTGTGCGTAATGCCATACTCATGATTCGCATAATACTTTTGATTAACTTTTCCTTAATCTCATTTCCATTTTATTTTAATAGCATTATGACCTTGAATATCCATGACATCCAACACATACTCATATTTCGTACATCCAAGACATGCTCACATTGTCATCTTTTGTCATTGTTTTCTTTTATTTCATCAGCTTACGATCTACCATGAACCTCTAACTCGGATGATGATTAATCCTTTAATATAATCACCATAGTGATATAGAATACAATTCTCTTGAACATCCAAATATCTGTCAAAACATGATAAAGAAAATACATATCATTTCTATTTCACCTATTCTGAAATTCGACTACTATTCATCATAATGATCACCTTATTCCATATTTCATTATCTCTTTAACATTAGTAATTCAGTTGTCCATAAAGAAGCGTTTGAATTCAATTAGTGCTTAACATCCAAGTTCATCGTCCCAACTCAATCACCCTTCTAATTTTCTTCAATTGTTATACCTTTAGACCATAAGCTAATCATGCCATGTTTCTAATACCTTCAAATTATACTCTTGTTTCCTCATACATGCATGTGATCGTATATTTTTTTTGTAATCCCCAAAACATTGAGATTGTTTGTACAAAATCTTGAAAATCCATCTTATCTCACACAAGGACATCGTTTTTCATAAAAGACTCCCGTCACCATTGAATTTTACCTTACAGATCCAAGTTCATTGTATCTTGGAAGAATTTGTTGCACCCATAATACTGCTAACATCCAACGGATACTCGTTAGTATAATTGATTTCCCTTAATTTCATCACGATTAATCTTCTAATTTGTCCCATAGCATCATGGCCTCGTACGCTATTACCTAATACATCGTAGAAAATTTTATAGTGTCCTTACATACTACTAATGACTAATTATTCAAAAATATCCTAGTATGTCTGTAAGAGCCATACTCATGATTCGTATAATACTTGTAATCTGCTTTTCCTTAATTTCATTTCCATTTATTTTGACATAGCATTATGACCTTGAACATCCATGACCCATTTCAAATACTTTCTATTACTCTCTTATTCTTAGCTTCAAGTTACTTAATCAAATGCAAATTTACATACCTATATCACTTTAAGATTTCCATACCATGTCTTAAACATCTACTAATTCTCGTATTTACTTCATTTCACTACTACTAGTTTTCCTATGCARACAATCAATTTGATCACAACATCCCAATCTTTTAAACCTTCAAAGTATAGGCCAGTTCCTCATAGTTGCATTAAATTATATTACATTAGTCTAGATAATAACAAAATTCCCAACTTTTCACTAATCATGAATGGCTAAAGTACGATATTTGATGATTTAACAAACAATATTCCTCATACTTGTTTTCTTTGCTAAAACATTGCGCTTGTCCCCAAAAGATCTTCAAAATTCATCTTAACTCACACAACGACATTGTTTTAGTCAATACTGAAAGTAATACATTCGTAAAGGACTCGATCACCCTCAAATTTAACTTAGATCCTAGTTTGTTTCAATTTGACAAGAACTTCCCARTCATACATCTTTCGAAGTTTCAAAGCATAGAACAGTTGACTCTCCATTATATAATAGTTTCATTAGTTTCTAAGCTACTATGAACCTCTAACTCGGATTATTCTTTTTATATCCTCACCATACTAATATACAATATGATTTTTTGACCTTGAACATCCAAATATCTTTCAATACTTCGTCAAAAGTACATGTGTTTTTCATTTCATCTATTGTGGCAATGACGACATTTCTTGATCATCATGATTACCCATTCCATATTTCATTTAAAATCAGTTGCTTTAATTAGTATCAATTGTCCACATTTTAACCATAAGAAGGTGTTTGAATTCAATTTGTGCTTAAATCATGCAAGATCTTTATCCTAACAACAATCACCCTTGTAGTTCTCTTCAATTGTTATAGTTCCCATACCTAATCCCCTTGATGCATGTTACCGTACCCCTAAACAATTTAGACCAAAGAGACATGACATGTCGCGACTACCCTMGGCATCTTTCCTAGATGGACATCATCAAAATATTCTAGTATATATCGTACTCAAGATTCACTACAATACTTTCATACATCAACTTACTTTATATATACTACACTCATAACATTTTTAACATCCAATGCTAACTCATAACACAACTGATTTCCCTTAATATCATCACGCATTTGATCTGCCATGAACATCTCCCTCAAATAGGTGGTCATTSCACCTTTTGTATCATTAATATGATTCTACTCTAGTAAGCTTCAAATGTGGTTAATCTTATAGAAATTCATATTTCTTTTAAATGTACATAGTATGCCTTAAACATCTTCTATTACTTCATTAAACTACTACGACTGTTGCTTACTAGTTTGAATCTGTTTATTTTGGTAGAAGTCTTAGACCATAGTCTCCAGACAATTGATTCGATCATACCCAATCATCCGTCTTTTAAACCTTTAAATTATAGGTTGTTTTTCTCATATCTGCAATAGTGAAAGCACACAATAAGAACTCCAGAATTTGACCAATCATGAATATCTAATTTACTATATTTGATCATTCAACCAACAATCTTGTGTACATTCTACTCTTTCAATCAAGCTCAAGTTTTCATATACTTGTTCTCTTAAAACATTGAGATTGTCCTTACTAAATCGTGAAAATGCATCTTATTTCCCATACGAAAGTCGTTTTATTCAATCATCAACGTAGTACTTATTGATACCATTGATTTCTCATAACTTGATCAAGATTGAGGATCTTTCTAAGAAAAATTTGCAGTTAATTGCTTACATATCCCCTATCACCCCCTTTATACACCCTCTAAATTAGAGGACCACCCATTATCTCATCAAAGGAACAAGACATAAACACTAATCATCCCATTTCAAAACCTCCAAATTATACGACTCTTATGTGGATAACCAGTTATCTCATTACAGAAAACAAGAGATGAACATTTGTGTGTGACAATATGCACTTGCAATCGTAAATATTTTATTTACAAATTTCATGATTTGTTCATATTAAAAGGTTATGAAATACTACTGAAATCAATTATGAACGTGAATCATCAATATTAAGCAACTGTACATATGATTGAACGAAGGAGAAAGTGTAATAAGCCACCAAAACATGTAACTCAAATACACTATCTCCAGAAGAGTTAAACTATCGGTGCAGTACCGGCAAGTATAACGCATAAGATGTGATTGTGGAGTCAAGAAAATCAACTTATATGTAAATGAATAACCTACTAAAGTCGTTAATCAATGATTTTGTTACCTTTGAAATAAAGAACCAATTTCTTAGAGCCTGTTCCATACGAAAAATATAAATAAGGAAACATTATTGTAATACTGAACGATCAAGAACACAGAGCATGGGAGGCATGAAATTGATGATTACCGTGAGAACAAAATCAATACAACACAGCACAATGCCTGTTCCATACGAAAAATTGAAAAAGAAAAACGTTAATCTAATTCTGATCAATCAAGAACTGAAGAACACAGAAGACGGAAAGCATGAAACTAAATATTACCGTATGAAGAAGATCCATAGAAAAAGAAGAAAAACAAATTAGTTGCACAATGAGAGTAAAGAGGAGCAGAAATTGAGGGAGATACCTAATCATCGAGTAAGTTGTTGTCGATCTGAAGAAGAAGAAGAGGCGTAGCAAGGGAGAGGTGAAGAGCAATGTCGGTCGCCTGTGGGAAGAGAGACGAGGATTATGATCACATGAGATCCCGTATCCTTCTTTCGACCGTTGGAGATCTCAATCTTCTTTTTTAACTGTGTTTTATTTTATTTTTTCTTCTTGGCAAAAAGGAAACAATGAAATGTAAGGCTGATGTATTAAGTTTGATTAAAGAGCAAATTACAAATTGAGTCCATGTGGTTTGATGTTGATTACGATAGTGGTCCTTAAACTCTAAGGTAGTGTTTGGTACGCAGACTGGACGAGAGGGGACGGGACGGGACAGGACTAATTGTTTGTCCCATGTTTGGTACAACTAGGACAAGACAGGACAAAACTGTTAAAATTACCATATTACCCTTAAGTGTAGTTCAATGTTATTTTGTATCATATAATCATTGTAAAATGACAACAAATCAACCAAAATATATTTTAATTACATAGTTTTTATAATCAAGTTTAATACATTAAATATAAATCCAAAAAAATGACAAGTTCTTATAATCAAGTTTAATACATTAAATATTACCCATATTTTTTTAACATTTCAAGACCACATGTAAATAACATTTGTCATACCACAAATTCACTTGTAACCTTTATCACGACATTATCAAAAGTATAACATTCCAATGACACATGTCAAATGAACCAAAAATATCACAAAAGAACAATCGTTTTCATCATCTCCTATTGGATGTCAAATGTAC